ATCGTAGAATTCTTCTATTTCATAGTCTGCGTGGCCACTTGTTGGGGCATATTCTTGTACAATCTTTAAATTATAGATATATAAAGTTAGAGCCGAGTTATCGCGTGATAAAATTTATTTTAAAATTATTTTTTTTATTAACATGCTGCTCCACCCCAATCAAATTTTTTTCCAAATTTTCAATTAAAGGTCATGGTCTTTCGCCTGTTTTTATTGTGCACATGTTTCAAGGCTTTTAATATCAATCTAAGAAACAGCTGTTACAGTTATAAAATATAATGAATTCAAAATTTATTTAAGTATACAATATGTTAATTGCTCATACTTATTCAAATGTTATTATAAGACACCTGGGAATCATTGTGTAAATAAAAAGGTAAATGCAATAAATAAATATATCTACACAGCAAATAAACGCATTATAATTATTACTCAGTTATTCCAAGTGAGGAAAAAATATCTTATAGAATATATTAATATACGGTAATGTTAAAAACTATTGACCACATCTGTATAATATTCAATGTTTTTCAATATTTTTCTATATTTTCCTAAACTGCGGAAAGTTACGGAAAAATTGTCGAATATTTTTTATTATTACTACTAAAAAATAATCACAAATTATTGAATTTAAGTGACGTATCTGCTGATGATATTCGTATAGGATTTCCTTATAATTTAAGAATTAGAGTTTCTTAAGTTATTAATAATAGAATTATTTCTTCTTCTTCTCATTCAGCCTTCATTTATCCATTGTTGGACATGGACCTCCTCTAATTGCTTCCACGCTTCATTATCTTTTGCAATTCTCTTCCACTGCTTTCCAGCTACAGCTGTTATATCGTCTATCTATCTCTTTTTGGGTCTTCCCACGCTTTTTTTGTTTCTCGACGTCTCCAGAATGTCACTTTATGAGAGCATCTGTTGGTGTCTTGTCTTGCTACGTCTGCTACCCATTGCCATCTCAATGTCGCTATTTTTCCCATGATGTCGGTTACTTTAATTCTTCCAGTGTTAGGAATTTTGTCTCTGAGACTTGTATTTAACATGGCTCTCTCCATGGCCCGTTGAGTTACTCTTAATTGCTCTGCCGCTTTTCTTGTTATTGGCATAGTTTCCAATTCATAAGTTGCAACTGGTACTTAGTATACAATTGTCACAGGTTTTTTGTTTTAAGTGTATTGGGATTTTTCTGTCTTTTAAAATGAAGATTAACTTACCAAAAGCAGCCCATGACAATTGTGTCCTTCTTTTAATTTGTATGAATTTGTATGAAAGAAAACAACCATACTGGTGGAACGAGCAGCTTGAAAATCTGAGGACAAACTGCATGAGAGTAAGAAGGTTACCGAATTTAATGGGAAATTTGAAGAAAAAAAGACACCCTAACCCCTACCCGAGGAGGAAAAACTCCGTTCAATACGAGAACTCTTTCCTCAGGTGGAGGATAGGCATGAAAGGATGCACTCTTGTAGCACTGGTTGCAAAGGCGAGTCAGAAAACGGACATGGCTAATACGGCTAACACAGCCCTGCGTCGCCTTGGTAGGTGGATCAGAGAGAACGATCTCCAACTAGCGCCTCAGAAAACTGAGGTATTAGTTCTCAAAGGGAACCCGGAGAAATCCTCTCTTCGCTTTATAGTGAAACGTGTGAAATTTAATACCGGTTAAAGCAATTAAATATCTGAGAGTCTGGTTGTTGGAAGGTCTAAGGTTCGGAGTACACATTAAAAAGACAGCAGAGAAGACGAACCGAAATCTGGAAGCATTGATACAATTAATGCCAAACATTGGAGGCCCAAGAAGCACCAAAAGAAAGGTGCTTAATAAAGTTTTTCAGTCGGTATTAACCTACGCTGCCCCTGTGTGGTGTAGTATACTAAACACTGCGAAATACGCTAAGCTGATGGAGACTTCGCAAAGGCGAATGCTCCTTAAAGTATTTAGCACATAAAGGACAGTATCGAATGAGGCTCTATATGTCATTGGAACAGTGATACCGATCGTTTTGTTGTATAAAGCAAGAGAGGATGTATGCAAGGAGGATGGATGTCAATATTCATGACAATGAGAGAGAAAGAACGATAGTAGGGCGGCAGAGAGAATGGGCGAATGATAGCGGAAAGACAAGGTGGACGAAGGAGCTTATTCCCGATCTGAGACCGTCGGGAAAATGTTCAGGAAAGTAGACTACTTCCTGACGCAGTTTCTAACTGGACACTTTGGCACTTCCATAAATAGAATAGGCAAATCTGCCTCGGCAGACTGGACTGTTTGTGGGGTACCGGACGCTCCCGCCCACATTTTTAACTGCCAGAGATGGGCAAATGAGATGGGAGATTTTCAAGAGGCCAATGGGTTTCGGGCTGGATGAAAAAAACATTGTTAACACTATGTTAAGAGAAGAGAAATAATGGAGATAATTACACTGTCTGATTTCTGAGGTGATGAAGAAAATAGAGCAGGAGGATAGAGGAGGAAATTGAGACAGGGATGTAAAAATTTATAGTTAATATTATTTATTAGTTTATGGCCTAACATCTAAACATTTTCTGATTTATGGTCATAGGTATGGATATTTATTAATTTTTAGTTTTTTTTTTATTTTGGTTATTTATTGAGTGGCAAGACCACCTCTCTGGAATGATAGTTAAGGTTTTAGCCGGAACACGGTTAATCTGACACTATCTTGGGGTCTTCTGGATTAGTATCCTACTCGGCCAAAAGATAGCAGGGTGTCTTGTTCCGTGACGTAGATGTCCAAAAAAGATTTCCCCCACCATTGCCTGTCAGAATTCCATGGATACTATTCAAAAAAATAAAAATATTTTTTTTTCCTTTTTTTTCTTTTTCCATGTTCTTATATCTGTTAAACAAAAATACTTGACAACATTCCAATAAAGTATACAATTAAAAACTTAAAATTTATTTTTTTAAAAATACTTTAAACTTACTTTATGAGATCAGTACTTAGTATACTCATCATCAAACATACCAAGTATAATATCTTTAAATGAGAACAGTGAAATGTAAATACATGATACTTAAAATAAAAATATTTGTACACTGATATGTTTCCAAAAACATGTCACGCAAAGACATTTGTACTTATGTCTACAAATAGGAAAAATATTTTAATCAAACAAGAAGGGTGCAACTACAATAATTCCTTATGTAGCTCATAAATTTTAATTACAACTATTTTTGTAATTAAAATTTCTTTTAATTACAAATAACTGTTTTCCTGTCCAATAACAATAATATATATATACCCCGTTCAAGTAACAAAAATATATCCGATTATAAAAATGAAACCTCTAAAAATTTTTTAGATAATTTTACTATATAATTGTGGCTTCACTTACTTAAATTTAATTTGCTTCAAGAATTTGTGTAATAATGAACGACACCTATTTGGAAGATCTGGCGTTTGTTAATTTCATTTCAAATTTTGTTTAAAGTGGGCATTTCATTCTTGAAAAAGGAACTGTGTACTAACTATCGTACATATGATTTAAATATTTCATCGTATGTTGCAAGGATAGAAGGTCGATCGCCAATGCTTTTGGGACATCTTACTGCTCCAGTCTGCCTAGATTCCTTAATTGTTCTGTAAATAGTTTAATTCGCAACACCTAAAATTAGCACATTACTTTAGTAAGTCTTGATTTTAACCATATTTATTCTGCAAAACTAACCTATTGCTTGTTTTATTTTTTGCTACCATGGCTGTTATTTTCATTCCAATTCCATTTAATAGTAAATGACCCAAATCTACTTGGCGTTTTTAGTCAGATAAGGATAATTACTACTAGTATTTGGCATTGAATCCATATTGTTATTTTAAAAACACTAATACTGTAGCTAAATAGTTCTGAAAAGAACTGTTTTTTATTTAACTGCAAACGAAAATTTTAAAAATTAATGCAGAAAATATAAAAAATCGTCGATATAAATTTTGAATTTTAAAATTTCATAATTATTGTTAGTGTCAAAGTGTTACAATTTAGTGAAGTAAATTTGCCTGCGGATGGACCAATTACAAACAAGCATTACGGCGGAATACATTTGAATTACTCCTCCTGGTTAAAAAACAAACCATAGTAATCAATTATAATTTTCATTCAGCTATATTTGTCGGTATATTTAACAGGTAATGTCACAATATTTTTATTTATTTTTTGTATTTAAATTCACACTCCAGCTTTACTCAGTGATAAAGATATTCCGTATAATTCTAGGTTTTATTTAACCCTTTTACTGCAAGAACCTTAAAAATTGATGCATATCCTATGCGCATTAAATCCACGAATGCAAGTATACTCGTTATGAGCAGTTGACTAGATAACATAACACTCCGGCGATTATACTCGTCTGGAGCAGCGCACCGTACAGGACCAGTACACCAGCAGAACAGTTTTATTTTCAATTTCTAGTTCAGATTTGTTCGAATATCTGATTAAGAAATAAGAGTTAACAAAATGACAGACAGTTTTTATTGATAGTATAGAACAAAATTCGAAAAGAAATAAGAAACCACTTATCATTCTTACAGAGCTATAAACGTAATGTCAATTTTTGTAAAGCATTTGAATCAAAAGTCTTTTTTGTGTGGTAAATACCAAAACAAGGCACAACACAAAGTGCTACATGACAGACGAAGCACGTATATCTGATTCTGCGCGTTTTTCAGGACAGATCAGTATTACAGTTTATAGAACGGAGAAAAGTTGGCTCTTTAGGGAATTTACAAAGAATGAACAGCAAATTACCTGTTAATCGAATATTGGAAGTAAGATTGACAAAAAAGAGGAAAGCAAGAAGATTTGAAGAAAATTGGAATGGTACGGTTGGAAAGATGATTGACGCAGAATAGCAAACGTAGCACAAAGCAAAAAAATAGAGAAAACCAGAGAGAGCAGAAATTTTTTTGTAAAAAGGACATATAATTATTGTATATCCCTACAGATCAAAGTTACAAAAGGAAAATTAATATAGTATGTATAAGATTAAGGAAATATTACGTATACAATGCCCTACGCGGAAAAGTTTGACTCTAAATCAAGAAGCAATAAGTAGAGAGCTCGTTCCAGTTGTGGACGTATGGAAGGATCCTAAAGATCTCATAAGTAAATCATCTTATAGTATTTTGCGTCTCATATTATAAAAGTGATGTGGAAAAAAGGTAAATATGTTGGCTAAAATAAAGCAGATAATGGAATAGTCGCAGCTTAAAGTAATCTGTTAGAGCACTTGTTTCGATAGTGATAGGGACCATGATAATATCTAATATCTGTGATGCAGATGAGGTTTTTAAGAAGAAAAAAAAGAAAGCAACCTGTTCCTTAAATTTAATTTTATTTAAATAAACCAATATAGAGTAGCACTATTCTATGATTCCGGTAGAAAACAGGCTGCTACAGGGAGTGACATCCCTGCGGTACGCTAGCTACTGATTTTCTCCTATGTCCAAGCCTTTAGGAAAGGCCAGGTTCCCAACCTATCTTCCTACCCATTTTCCAATCCTAACCACATCCCGATATATCCCGCTACCAACCCGCACTGGCCAGCGTGATAGTGAAATTGCTAATTTTCCCCGTAAATGACATAACCCAAACTAGAAAAAGGTCCTTATTCCCCGGCGGCCCAACGGTCCCTGGTGACGGTAGCCATCAGATTGGACCAAGGGCAGAGGGTGCAAAGAATCACCGGGATAGACACGGCTATCATGGACAACGAACATTGCATATTGCCACTTATACCGTAAGAATGCTTGCAAGTGAAGATAAGCTCATTGAATTACCGGAAGAACCTAACTGCATAAAATGGGATGTATTAGGACTTTCCAAAATACGAAGAAAAGGACAAAACCAATTAGTTTTAAAATCAGGGCATCTGCTACATTACATTGGAGAAAACGATAAGGCAGTTGGCGGCGTCGGCTTTCTTGTGCACAAGAAACACCTAGATAAAATTATCAAAATAGAGAGTGTAAGCTCAAGAGTGGTGTACCTCTTATTAAAACTGAACGAGAGACCCTCCGTTAAAATTATCCAAGTATATGCAGCCACGACGAGCTATAGCGATGAAGAAATCTAAAACTTTACTTTACTTTAGAAGACGAAAAGATAACGCAGAAGTGGCTATGGGCTCATTTGGATACGGTAAGCGAAATGATAGAAGAAGTGTGCTACTATATTTTTTGTTGCATCATCGGCTCTATGTGATGAACATTCTATATATTGATGCACAAAATTGTATAAGCAGGAAGAACTTCCAGATCCTGATTAAAATCAAATACCCAAAAGTTCAAAATGTAGGCTCAGAAGACATCCCAGATATCCCAACAGAGGAAATAAAATCAGCTCTCTCGGAAATGAAAAACAATAAATCACCTGGAGAAGATGGGATAGTCATTGAACAGATCAAAGAAGAAGGAGGAACGTTAGTAAGTGTGTTGAAAAAGATGTTCAATGCTTGTCTGACAAGAGGCGTAACCACCTCCCAGTGGCATAATGCAATAATAACCATAATGCACAAAAAATGTGACATTTCAGACCTAAATAACTACAGACCTATTAGTTTGCTCTCCCATATATACAAACTACAGTCATATTTATGAAGATAATAGCAAAATAGCTTGTGAACAAACTGGATAGTTACCAACCTTGTGTAGGGGAACCAAACAGGCTGGGTTCCGCTCCAGATACGAAAACAAATGATCATCTACAAGTTATAAAAACGATAATAGAAAAGTGTACAGAGTATAACAAGCCTATCTTTCTTATATTCGTAGATTATGAAAAGTGGTTCAATACGATAGATTATCACAAAATGCTTCGAGCATTGGCTGACGTCCGCATTGACTACCGATATACCGCCTTGATTAAAAGTATTTACGAATCTGGTAGAGCTTGTGTCCGCCTTCTTGAAGAAACCAGGAAGTTTCGAATAGAACGTGGAATTAGACAGGATGATATTATCTCCCCTAAATTGTTTACAGCTGTTCTTGAATATATGTTCAAGCAAATTGAACGAAAGGATAATATGGGAATAGGCAGAGATAATCAGACAGCTGAAATACAAAGAAGGACAGGTCTCACATGGGCTGCTTTTGGTAGATTAAATAACATTTTCAAGTCTATTATCTTAGTTTGTTTAAAAAGAAAGGTTTTTAACCAGTGCGTTTTACCGGTTCTTACATATGGTGCAGAAACACTGACTATGACAAAAAGAACAATAGATAAAATAGGAGTTACACAACGCGCTATGGAAAGATCAATATTAGTTATTATCGTCAAAGATAAAGTACCAAACCTAGAAATAAGAAGAAGAACAGGAGTCACAGATGCAGTTGAAAAATAGCCATGGCTAAATGGGCTTCGGTCATGTTGTTAGATTAACGGATGATAGATGGACCAGAAAGATTCTGGAATGGCGACCAAGGCAGGAGGCATAGCATAAGCCCATCACCACAAAGTGGATGCAAGAAGCTCAAGATAGAAATACGTGGAAAATTTTACGGGGGCCTACGTTCAGCAGTGGAAAAATATAGGGCAATTGAGGATGATGAATATTAAATGTCTACAAGTTACATTCCTGGTCTTTCTAGCAATTGTTAGGATGTAATAAAATCTTTTAATCATAATCCACTTCGATTCGATACTTTTTAACGAGAATATCTTTGTTTTTTTAACCACCAAGGTTTAGTTTTCATTCGTATCAATGTTAGCAGAAACATAGACTTGTAAATAAATTAAAAACTATTGAATTATTAATATTCTGTCGTTTTTTATCGTACTCTGTTAGATCATTATAATTATCGCAGTAAGAATACTAGCAGAAAACAAATAGTTTACATTTTGCACACATCTGTAAATATCGGTATATATAAAAAAGTTCCAGATTCAAACAAAGTTGATCTTCTAATAACTTAATTGACATCTACGTCAAATATAAATAAATTAAATATTTAACTAATAAAAGTCTGACAATACCAGAAGCTTAAAGTTGTTAGTATTTATATTATACATTAAACAGGGACTATATAAATCGTCGAATACAAAACTAAGTATTACATTTTGTCCTAGTTAGATTATCAACCAATCTCTAAAGTTCTTCAAAATGTCTGCACATGAAATTTACGCTCAACCATACAAAGTGAATACTTCAGATAATACTGTGTACAAACCATTAGTGGCAGATATTCCACCTGAAATAGGACATGCTCAAAACCGACCAATAACGACCTGGTTTCTCTATTTTGCTGCTATAACATGTAAGTATAGAATTAAGTACATATATTATTTTACAATTTTTTTATCCCACATTTATTACAATCTATCTATACAATCTTAACCTAAATATTTAGGTATAATATGGAGAATAAGTAATATGACTGGCAAAAGTGTTATGACATGCAAGCATTTATTAAACTTCTTCTTATTTTTCTTGTTCTTTTTCCTCTTTATTAAGCAATTCTGCTTGTTAATTGGCGAATTAATACCTCCATAGAAGGTTGTCACTCCATCTTTTGCGCAGACGTCCCTTTTTTTCTGCTATTTTAACGATACGAGTCTGCTTTATTCTGTTTATGTGGTTATTCCATTTTTTTTTTATCTTGTGTCCATTTATTTATACACTGTACGTTACATTTTCTTGTAATTTTTAAACTTAGTATTCTATATTGACTATCTTTGATACCTAGTTATACATAAAACAACTTTTATAATTTATATATATTACAATTATTATAAGTTGTCGTTTTAACCTTCGAACTGTATGCGGTTTATTCACTAAACTTTTGCGAACACATTCTTCTTCTTAATGTACCATGTCCTTTCAGAACGTTGGTTACCATCATAGCTATCTTAATTTTATTCACTGCCACCCTAAATAGCATGCTTGTATCAAAACCATACCAATCTCGCAAGTTCTTCAACCACGAGGTTCTTCTTTCTCCTGGACTGCATTTGCCTGCTATTTTTTCTTGAATGATATTTTTTAGCAACCTATATTTGGAACCTTTCGTTACATGTCCGAAATACTCCAGTTTTCTGTGTTTGATGCTTTTTATAATCGCAGTAGTCTTGCTGAGACCTTCTGGTATTATGGAGTTTCGAATCTTCTTCACCCAGGAAACTTTTAAAATTGTTCTATAGCACCACATCGAAAGCCTTAAGGCGATTTAGATCGATTTTATTCACAGTCCAGGACTAGACACCATAAAGTAGGACCGAGAACACGTAGTAGCGAAGTAGGTGGATCCTCAATGCCAATTTTAGGTCTCTGTTACATAACATCTTGGATATCCTTCTAAAAGCAGCTCTAGCCTGCTGCCTGCTCTATCCTAGATTTAATTTCGCCGTGACTTTCTGCGTTAAAATTAATTTGCTGTCCAAGGTAAACGATTTTATCAACTTGCTCAAGTTTGGTATTATTTACATAATATAGATGATTTTATATGCTGTTGTTTACTTATTACGAGTATTTTGGTTTTCCGTATGTTCAGATTTAGACCTGCCTCCCTACAACTCTTAACGACACTATCAAGTAGTGTTTGCAGATCTTCTTGACTAGAAGCTAGGAGTATTGTATCGTCCGTATATCGCAAATTATTGATTACTTCACCGTTCACAAGTATTCCTTCTTGTTTTTCAAAAAGTGATTTTCTGAAAATTCTTTCGGAGTAAACGTTAAAAAGCAGGGGTGATAAGAGGCATCACTGCAGTACTTCCCTTTTAATATTGAGAGCCTGTAATTCCACACTATCTACTAAAACTGATGTTGTTGGATTTCAATAGAAATTTGCAACTATTTGAACATCTCTCCCGTCCAATTTAATATATTTTAGAGCTTCCATTAATATAGAGTGCTTAACACGATCAAATGCCTTTTGGAAGTCAATAAAACAACAGTACGTGTCGACAGATCTATCTCGACATTTTTGAGCAAGTACGTTCATTCCAAACAGTGCCTCTCTCGTTCCAAACTCGTTACGAAACCAAACTGAGTGTCATCCAGGTATTCCTCGCATTTATTGTAGATACGACCATGTACTACTTTCAGAAAAAAATTCAATAAATTGTATAACAAACTGATGGTTATATAATCAGCACAGGTTTTGCTG